GGAGAGCTGTAGTCCTGTGGTATAACCCTAAGAATGTGCTTATTTAGATTAACCACTTTGTCGGCATTGCACGCACCACAGAAATGCCAAACAGAAGAACAGTAATAAAAATGCGGCAAAATAAAGGCTTTATAAAGCTTCAATAGCGTCTCCTTATCAATAAGTTTCCGAAATCTGAGCGTTAAATTGATTATTTATTTTCTTACAGATAACTGATACGTGATTATCAAAAGAGAACCTATTATCTATTGTCATCCTAAATATATCTATCGAGTTCTTTACTGGGAAACAAAAATTGTGCTCAGTTTTTCCCAGCATTAGAGCTCGGTGCTTTTTCTCGTTAACAATCATGCCATTGTTTTTATACCACTGATTTGCGACATTAAGAGGCTGTCCGCGTAAGAATGTATAAGGCAAATTTCGGTCCTGCACCGATTTCCCCAAGTTTTTCAGTGAAAGTCAACAATTCTATCCCATGTAAAAATATCATATTTGTTTTGATCTATTCGCCGCTGTAGGATCACGTAAGTACCAATAGCCTTGTGGCTCTCTCTAGTTCTGTTTCCTCAAATGTCAATACCCCTATAAGTTTTTGTTGTTGTTGGTCGCATATCCATTTCCCTTGGTTAATTATTGGTGTCGCAATCGTAAATACAAAAATGTGTGTTTTATCATCAACCAAGGAAATTTATTTAATGCTTTTATGCTATTGCTACACTAAGACTACTGGGCAGCCTGGCTGGTGGTAATGAAGGAAACAAATATAGTCCTGAGCGGTGAATCTGCATCTCCTTCCCGTGCCTCGCGCGATGTCGCCCCTCTTCTACTCGTCGCTAAGGTTCGAAAAAACTTTTCCTTTATCTCACACCCACAACGACAAGTGTTACGCACGATAGAGACTATAGGTCCCCTAGATGTGTTTGAAACGCCTAGTATTTCTCTTAGAAATGATTTAGGCTAAGCTAGACGATGACGATGACGATGACGATGATGAAGACGATGATGAAGACGACGACGATTTATCAGTTGTATTGATGCAATTTTATAGCTATTTGCACCACTTGCCGGAAGAAGCATTCTGAGCGACTGTTGGGTTTGGGATGGCAAAGTTCTACCAAAGGTTCAGTCAACCAGGAAGCTGCGGATTTTGAGAGGTTTGTTGGATATTTTATTGTTTCTAAGATACCTCACCACGCAAGGTGTTTATTCGCATGCCACGCCATACATCGAAAGCGCATTCCTTCGAAGAGAACATGTCCAATGATGTCCTTTCATACCGTTAGTAAGATTGTTTTATCTTATGCTACTGAAATGAAGACAACGCCATTTCGTCAGATTTTTACCCCTAATAGGAAACCCTTTTCTAGTCCCTGTTGGACTCCAGCAACTCCTGAAGCAACTTTCCGTCAGATCCGAAACAGAGATTCTTGGTACTTACAATGCTGCGATGGACGAGGTTGCCAGAAATATTCCTAGCAAGCGACAGCCACTACCATCACAGCTTGATAAGCGGGTTGGTTTAGAAGTTTGTCGGTACGACTTTTCAGAGCCACAATATGGCAAGGATGTATGTGATAGAATTCTGTGTCCGATGAAAACATGCATCCGACGTTTCTGCAGCGAAGGACACGACATTCTATCAGCGGGAGGCATGAGGAAGGCACTTTCTGAAAGACCAGTGAAAGGTAGATCCACATTCGTTTGCGAGGTTGACGAGGCGAAGATAACCCTAGAAATGAACAAGATAGATGTTTTTAGCAAGCTTCACAATGTCCAGTTTGAGGAGAAAGGTATTCGTGTGTGGAGGTCGTACCGAATAGGGCGTGGCAAGGAAATCTCTTTTGACCAGCTGGTGTTAAAGGGCCAAGGGGACACTGGTATCGTTGTTAATGAAAAATTTTTCCCTCTTCATGATACATGTGTTTATCAATGCTCAGATCCTGTGACAGAGAGTTCAGAAGAAGAGAATGACTGGGACGATTCGAGTATAAGCATGTTTGAATGTTCCAAGCCTGGATGCGTGAAGAGTTTCCAAACATTTTCAGAGCTCGAGTCACATTTGGACGTAGGGGATCATTGCGTCAAAGTTGAAAGGCCGTCAGAAACGCTATATGACAAGCTTCGAAGAGATTGGGCAGACAGATTTACTGCGTTAGTCAACGTCACTGAAAATGAACCGTCTGAACCTAATATCCGCCAAAGTGAAAATGTCTCAATAACCGCGTTGCACACTGTCATTATGGGCTGGGCCTTACACAGGCCACGAGCAGGATCCATTAGATTAACTGACAAAGTTAAGAAATATCTAACTGCAAAGTTTGACCTAGGGGAACAATCAGGGCCAAAAGCTGACCCTCAGCAAGTCTCAAATGATATGCGCAAGACAAGAGATGAGCTGAATAGAAGGTTGTTTGAACGAGACGAGTGGTTGACTAAGAGCCAAGTACAGGGTTTCTTTTCTCGCCTTGCAGCAAGCAGAGGAAGGCAACAAGCACACTCAGAAATCGAGCACAATCCAAAGGAACTATTTCTAGAGGAAAAAGGAGCTGAAAGACAACAGTTAATGGCGCACATTTCCAACGAACTGAAGCCGCAACACCCTCTGTCTTACGACGCCTTTAACTTGTGCGAGTGTGCGAGAGATAATAAGCCGAGTCTTTTTAATGTTTCACTGCTTAAAGAAATCTTGCACTTTTTTGAAGTACCATTCAAATCAAGAGACCGGAAAAAAGACCTGATTGAACAACTGATGTCTTTTATACAAGAATGTCAATGCTTTAATGAAGTGTAACACACGGGCCACGGTTGGGACGACTGTAAGCATGGAGCCCTGGCAAATCAATGACAGGGAATTACAGTGAATTTATTGAGAAGCAATATGCACCGCCTCTAAGTACCCTGATGTACAGTTCTATGCCGATGAATAAGAGCGCTTAAAGCATGAATATGTAAGCAAACCTGTAAAAATCATTTTAAAATTGGCGCCTGTTATTTTGTAGGCGTGCCTTTAATTTCAAAACAAAAAAATCATAGGCCTACCGTGACCGCGAGTCATGTTGACCCTCACTCTATAGCATGTACGAGCATTTACAAAAGAGACTTTCTCTATTGCCTCCTCGAAATTTTCTCAATGATTTATGCCTTTAACTGAAGTTACTAAATTCCCTTACCTACTTTTGGAAATGTTTATTAAATTAAATATACCAATTTCTATCGGTTGCATAATTTCTCAATTTCTTCTGGGGAGATTTTCATACTCTCGATGGCGAAACATCAACATATCATGATATAAATGCCGAGCTAAATATTTCTTTAATTTGAGTTCACCAGCCGTGAGACAATCTTTTAATGCTGATATTGCGTGACCAGGCTAGTTCACGGCAGTCCACAGTCACGCTGAAGAAACTCCACCGTGCTAATCATGAACCAACTAGGTCACAATCTAAAAAACTTTCACAAATAGTGAGACGAAATTTTTCCCCAAGTAAGGGTGAATTATTTTCCTGAAGAAAAAGCAAAAGAGGTCTGAAAAAGATTATGCACATGATAAAAACAATTGAGCGAAATAAACAACTTAGTTGTCAAAACAAACTGAATTCCTTTAGCGCATTGTGTTCAAAGGAAATGGCTCTTGAAATTTTACGTAAAGCTTTTAAGAAAGGATACAACAGATGAGTTTCACATTTATAGGAACACTTCTTTGAATGGCTACATGTTGTTACAGAAACTATTTTTGACGTGTATTATAACACGAACGCATGAAGTTAACTTGCATGTAGGAATAATTAACGAAGTATTTTTCCGGAAAATTTGAGCCATTTCGTGAAAAAATGGTCAAATTGATGATTTATATCGATCTTGATACTCCATTAGATAATCGTTGCGGCATCTTTAAGTATTTTAGGGCTGTTACGCTTTAGAAACCTGTCTGCAGGTCGGACCGCCTTATCGTTGGTTTCGATCAAGATGGCGAATATTTATGAAATTCACAAAGCTCTCTGCGGCGCAGGATGAGGAGTGCCCAAAAGTTTTATTCTATGCTTACCTTGCTTTATCTAAGTACTTTTAAGCTGCAATAGACTTGACTCTAGATGAGGCCCCACGTAAGAGAAAATAGCTTTCAACCGCATGTACCCCACTCCTCACAAATTTCAATGCTCACGATAAGGTATTTTGGAAATTTCATAACTCGGTAAAAATTCTATAGAATGTAATCGTTTTACCTTTGAAGTATTGAAATAAAGTCATTCTCAAATATGTAAAGTAATCAGCTTTCTAGATTGGGAAATAAGGATTTAATAGCGCTCGATATTTATAGCTTAGTAATTGGGGTCACAGAAGGCAAATTGGGCGGTTTTGGGGTGACCTTTAAAATTGTCTCGTAAAAAATAAAAAGAATGAAAATGATCAAAATAAATGTGATATTTGTACATGGGATAGAATTGTCGACTTTCACTGAAAAACTTAGGGAAATCAGTGAAGGGCCGAAATTTACCTTATCCGTTCTTTCGCGGACAGCCTCTTAAGATATTTAACCTCTAAACATGGCGCAAATTAAGTTCCTGTGACAACCAATTTTTAAAAAAAAAATCCTGATTAGGAAACATTACATTTGAAATTTGATCTTGAATCTTCTCGATAAATTATTGTTATTCAAAATTAATAATACTACAGATAGAACCACTCCACGGGCTTTTATTTTGATTTGTGACCAAAGAGAAAGAGAACAAGTAGCCAATGAGAACAGAAAGTGAAAACAGAGAAGAAGCGGCAAAACGTGATTAACCAACCAAAGAACAAAATTTGCTGAACCTTAAATGCCTTGCGTGTGCAATGTCCTTGACAACCTGCCATAAATTACGTGTGCGCGTGGGGAAAAGATTCAATCTTAGTAGCCTGCTTGTTAAAAAAATGTAAAAAAGGCGAGATAGGAATTGAATGGTGCTGCGACGATTTTTATGATTAAAACTTGAACTAAATAAAATCCTGAAACAGTTATCTTTTCTTTATTTTTATTGACGAAACTCTGTTACTTTCAAAAACGTTTTCGTTTATACTCAGGGCAGTCTCACGTTTTAAAATGATCCTCTTAAACAACTAGACTGTTTTCAGTTCTATGTTTTCCTCTTAACCGTTATGTTTGCTATTTTGGAAAAATAACTGAGGGAGTAATTTGAACCACATTTCGGTTCTTGGAAAGAGAACTCTACCATGCATGTAGATGATGATAATAGCATGCACGCATACGTGGAGAGTCAATTAACTTTATAAGGGCTAAAATCCAAACAACCCCAGTTTTCCGCTGTCGGTCTTGTTATTGTCCTCTGTCTTTTTTTCTGCTCGGACCGCTTCTTCTCGACCGCGACTGTTAAGTTCTTTCAGCATCTCAGTCTGCTCTTTTAACACGTCGTACAATTTGTCGGCTCTGGAAAAAATTAAATCCAAAAAGATACGCTGTTAAGAATTAGGCTGCGACAGACACGGTGAACTAAAGGTTTGCACGCTAGCTGGACTGCGGATCTAGAGTTTCGGGGTTGAGATCCGGCTGATTCATTGTGTTTTGTGTTGACCCATGTCTTGGGCAACTCACTTTATCGTCACGGTGCCTCTCACTACCTAGGAGTACAAATAGTTCCGGAGAACTTTCCGAGAGCCCTGAAATGATACTATGGGGTGTACGATGGTCTAACACCCCATTCACAGAAGTCTTTTCGCTTAGAATATCAGAAGCTGGGGACCAGCACTGTTGTTCTGGGCCATAAACCTCAACTTCAACTATAATGTCGCAGACGTTTTAGGAGCCCCACCGTTCTTTTTTCTTATCTTGGCAGATTTTTCCCATTCTTTCTCTCCTACCATTAAATTTGAGGTATATACCCAGTATTCCCATGAGTATCAATCACAACTGAATGCCGGGGGAAAAAATCATAGTGTCGTTGTAACCTAATTAAAAAAAGGGAAATGAGGTTGGAAAGAAATTAATAAGACTCTGATTATCTGAGTAATTTATGACGAGACGATAATACCAAGGTTGAAATGAAGAAGGCCTCGGAAAAGGCAAATGCAGGTATAGTTCCTGACGATGATGAAAAGTCAACTCGATCTGCTACACATAAACTTTGTGTGAGGGCCACACCTTATTGAGAGAAAAACTTCAAGAATAGAGGGTACAATATAAAACAACTAAGGGCTCATTCACTCTTCTTTAAGTTATAACGGGTAAGGAATTTTGACATTTACACATAATAAATCTCAATGTGTTTGTAATGAAAGGCTAACACAAATTTGTACTAAATAAAGTTAATGCTTACAGACATTCCTACATTTTCCAACAATGTGTGGAATGGAAAATTAGGTAAGAACTAGATGTTACGAACCACTTCACATTCACTTCACCCAGGACAATAATGCTCATTTCTATTCTTGGCAAATTAGATGACAAACCTTTGCTCTTGTTCGTTAAGTTTTCCAATAATCTGCACCATTCCAGGCGACAGCTCCTCTTCTTCTTCAACCTCAGTAGACTCAGGTTTGCCAAAAGAAATAAGGGCATCTACCAGCTATGAGACAGTTAAAATAATTTTGTCTTAGATACTTTTAACATAGAATCTGAGAGAGCTTGGTTCCCTCTGAGGAACATAACCTCAGTATATTTTGAAAAGGCTCAAAGTATTTGTTGCTCTTGAACACTTATTTTCCCTATAGAACAAACTAGTTCCGTTTTTTTTTTTTTTTTTTGGTTAACGAACTCATGCAAACTTTCAATAGTCATAACAAAATTCAAGAAATTCTCCTCAAGCCGTGTGCGACCTTAGCAGCACTTCATCGACGAGGTAATGCCCTCAATGTTTATCCTACGATCAGTCACTATAAAACATGCCCGAGGCTCACCATTTTATTAGTACTAAACTGCTGTAAGCATATCAAAATTCTTCTTTCGCAAAGTATTGAAAAATTACACAGTTGCGTGCTAAAAAATATATTATTTTTCGATTATTCAAGGAATTCCGAGCTGCCGGTAGAAAAGTATAAAAATTCCATTCATCCCCTCTGCCAGTTTCGTTGCTAGCGAGATTTAAGGTCTAATCTTTTTAAAAGTCCGTTACCTTTTGTTTGAGTGTCTTGGGGTGGTTGGGATATTCTGAATAGCTTGGCACTTGTACATGTTTCAGGATAAACATCGGCATAGAGTTTTCAATGTCTAGCAGCAACTGAACCTAAAAAGGTTTAAACACATTACAAATTCAACTCTAACTTTTTTTCAAAATTTTTTCATACGTCATGTTTGACTAGTTAAAGCTGGTGAATTTCAAATTTACAGGTAAACAGAGATGCTCCCTTTAACGATTCTTGGCAAGTATGGGAGAAACAACCGGTCACTGTTTTACCGTAGATCACCAAGGTGTGTAGATTGTCGGGAAAGTTATACAGCTGAGTTTAATAATAACCCCCTTTCTTCAATAATAAACATCTGGTCACTGGATTCGTTTCGATAAAGAGTGAGGTTGTTATTTGTTGCTTTTATTACAGCCATGGTCCAAGGCTATGTACCGAGATACTTACCTGTAGAACATAGCGATCCATTAAAGCATTCTGTTGGATTTTATCGATATCACCAACAGCGAGACCAACCTGGCGAGTGACATCAAAACACGTGATTAAGACCACATACAGACTTTATTGACTCAGTATTTATTTTCCGAAGAAACTGTAAGTTGCATTGTATCGTCGAGTCGAGAAATCCCATGGAAATGCCGATAGTAACTGAACAGTCAAAGCAGGTAGCGTTCACCTGTAAGTATTAAGTTGTGATAAAGGAAGTTGATTAAAGTCAACCGCCTAAATTAGAATGTTTGGATGTGAGATGTTGCGTAAACAGAAAGATCCTGACCACGCGCCAAGCAATCACTTATATCCAGAACGAAATGCAAATATTGTTCGGTGTGTGCCCCATGTGACATCGTATCCGACTGAGCACTCATATATTTCATATTTGACACAATAATGTGTGATTCAAAAGATTTCATGGAAACATAGAATAAAACTTCTCATTAATAATTAATCCTGGATTAATGAAAAAAGGTGCGCCTTTTTCCGAAAGGCGTCTGACGCTGTTCACAACAATACTTGCCATCCAGGGCTGTAAAATGATCCACTTTATCAAAGGGATGACAATTTATTATTTGGACAAAGTCAACCACCTCTCGAAAAGCTTTTAGTACATACCAACATATTCATCATAATAATGGGCATCCCAAGAACCAGAATGACGAACAGAACATTTGTTAACGTCGGGAAAGCTAATTCATCCCAAGGCAAGAATTCATCGTGGTAGTTGAGTTCTCCAAGTGTCATGACATACATTGACATCAAGGCATATCCAAAAGTGCTGAAGTGTTCCTAACAATAGAACAAACAAAATGTAATACTTAGAAATCCGCATACATGATAATGCGTCTATGCTTAACACTGCGAATGACATACAAAATCTTTACTAACAAACAATGCCGAACTATCATTGTATGAATTTTCAACCATGGATGTCATTGAATTTCTGGTTTTTTAATTGGTTCACTCAATTCCAGTTATCAGATCATATACAGAGTCGCCTTACACGGTAAATAATCAACCCAAGTGTCGCTAAGCTGAATTTAGTTTTGGTGGGAAGCAAACTCTTCTCCCGTGCAATGGGGATAAACTTAAACATAGAGTAGTTAATTTCGTTAAGGTAAGAAAGGTAAAAGCCACGATATCACGCTATTGAGTGGCACGTATCTTTGAAATTTCACGTAATTACTTTTGCCGGTGAATAGGAGGTTTTCTGGTCTTTAAAAAGTAAAACGCGGCCATAACAGAAAGAACAGCAGGTTAACTGCAAAATTTCAGGATAACTTGCGAGTTTCGCCGAGCGATAAAGAGTTAGCACATTTAAATGCTTTTTTTGTGTGTGTTTCCCTTTTCAACGACGCTTATTTCCGTAATGAGAACTTTATTAGTCAGAACAAGTGTCCAAACTTAGCCGTGTGGCCCTTTGAGTTGTCGAGATGCTCTACATTACTTTTCTTGATTGATTTGTAGTACAGTACACTTACTTTATCTACGATCAGAAAAAATGTAGTACCAAAAGCCATGATAAACAACATCCACAACAGCAAAACCTTAAAGATAAGAAAAATCATACAGATTTGTCACGCATCCAGGCAACGTTTGTGAACTCAAATCCCATCTGATATTCGGGTGACAGCGGAGCAGTCACAGTAGGCATGGCTTCTCAATGGCCAACAATTTAGCTCTGACAAAAAGTCCGCAGCTTTCTGTAATTTGAGGAAAGTGGTTAAGATTCTAAGGAAAGCTGTTAATCAGGCATTTTCTATACGAGAGTTAGTTAATTGTTGGTTTAGCTGAAAAAAAAATTTTGAATACAATCTGCTTCTCTCACTTGTCTGAAAGAGTGATGACATTTGTTTACAATTTCTCTGATGAAGGGTTTCTTGGAAAAAATATCTGTACTTCAAGACAACCTTGGTGTATAAGGGAAGCCCCACTTCTAAACATGTAACCCTTTATTAGCGCCTGTAAATCGGCTCAGTTTGAACCATTGTGGAACCATTAATACTATTACTTTTTTTGAACAGACAATTTTGTGCAAAGCTAAATACCTTGACAAGGGTCACAAACATTGTAGTGAGCATGATGACGTATTGACCGTAAGATGACAACCTTAAAGAGACACAAGATTGTTCAGTTAAGATACACTCGCTGATATGGTTATAGCGGGTTTCGCCCATAACGAGTTTCGCACATATCGTTTCGCCCAGAACGAGAATGGTTTCGCCCAGAACAATAAAGGTTTCGCCCATAAGTAAAACTTCTACACGTCAACCTTATAAACGTTTGTATGCACAGAATGAAGAAAAGTGACTTGACCTGAGATCATGAAATTTTGAAACGAACAAGTTACTGTTGAAACGAACAAGTCAATTATAGCTTTCACTGTGGAGTGGGGATTGTTAAGGTAATTCGCGCACGAAATACTGCAGAGACGTCCGTTTGTCGTAAAAGCATTGCTATGATTTTTTTGCATCACTTTTCTTCTCGAGAATTAAATTCAACGCTTTTGAAAACACTTGCGCGTGGAACATATCATCGTTGCAAATCTTTTGCACACGGAAGATAAGTTCCGCACGCCAGCTTATGAATGAACATTGTATGAACAGAAAACAAAAGCCCGGTTACCGGGCTCATCTAAAGCATATGTCTAAAGAGGCCCTTAGCCTGGATAATCACTGACTGTCAGTCTGGGCGAATCGAATTTATGCCTGGGCGAAACCATTCTCGTTATGGGCGAAACGCTTCTTGGGCGAAACTCGTTATGGGCGAAACCCGCGGATACCGCTGATATTATCAGCAGATACCTTATATGAAAACCATATAATAAAACTGCGGAGTGAATATTTCAACAATTGAAAGATCACCTTCGTTATAAGTGCTGTAGTTCAGTTTTATCCTCGGTTTAAAGTTCATTTTACCTTTGTTTGCAACCATGTTCTGTCAGATTATGAGTTTAATAGAAAAGGAAAGAAAATCTGACAACTTACACCGGACAAGTTAATGTACGTAATAAATGATGTTTCATTCAGTCCATCATTATTTCTCATCATTATTACCTCATCGTTATATCTGATCAGTGAAGGGGAAATCCACTAGTGACTGATGACTGATAAAAATCTACCTGTGATAAATTCGATTCCGAAAGTTGCTCACTGTTTATTGCTAATTGACCAAGTTGTAAGTATAGTGTCTGTCCCGTAAGAGTAAGCAAAGAGGGTACTGAATTTCCAAATTTTCTGAACACAGTGGTTGTAGTATATGTTGCTGTCTGTCATAATGGGGGGATTTCCGAAGGTTTCTGAATGATCAATGTTGGCCGTGTGTCTGTTCAGTAATGGATCACAGATGACGTCAAAATGTAGTAGAAACAAAGAAGTGGCAGACGATGCGCAGCCGAGTCTGTCACTGATGTTCTTGCCACATTGTGACGTTTTCGGTGATCTATTAATCTGATACTGAACCGACCCGCGGCATCATGGTATCTATTTGTTTTATATAACAAAAAGACAAAAGATTGTCAATGATGACGTCATATATGCGTCTGTCCTTCAATAGATCATAAGCAAGGACCAATCAAAATGCGCGTAGGACTCAGCTAATTGTATGATTACCTCCTGAAGTAAAGAATCAGATTCATCCAGCCAAAGAAGACAGACACTGCTCCAACTTCCTGTTTATAGCCGCGCTTGCAGTCACAAGTTGGGAAGATGTAAACGATGGATGCCACGTAGCATAACCACTCCACGTAATTCAGGAAGTTTTTCAAATATGCAACACGCTGTTTGCGAAAGAAAAGAAAGTTATTTTTCTTTCCTTAAAAACCATTCTACTCTTTCTAATTCATGTCTTATAAACAGGAAATATCTGACAATTAATAATGTACTGACTGTCCGACAGTACTGAAAAACTTGTCAAAGTGATTCTAGTAAAGTTATTATTATTTACCTTACGAACTAACGAGAAGATGTGCTTTCCAATCAGAACCACGCAAGCAATAAAAGTTAAAGTGCTTAGAACCTGTGTTACCTGAAAAAATGAAAAAAAGCAAAAAAACAAAATCAAAAGTGCATAAGTTACGTATATGTCTAGCAATTTAGTTACTGACAAAATTCGAAACATGTTTGACTTGTCGAGGTGGAAGGACTCTGACCAGTTTTTTCTTTGTCCCAAGCTCGTAAAGAAGCAAATAACAACTTTCTTTAGAATACATCACACAAGGCTCTACCGACATTCCCTTCGCTTGCTGGTGAGAAATGTATATATGGGCACAGACCCCTCGCAGGCTTCGCCGCTTCAATTATAGATTTGCTCACAACCTACAATCAATCTTACCTTGTACCAAGTGAAAATGATGTCTCATAGTTTTTTCATAGTTTGCACTCAAACCATCAATTACAAAAAGATAAGGTCACATTATTTTATAGAGTACTGTCTGTTTGGAAAAGTGATGGCGCTTCCTTTTTAACAGTTAATTCAATCCATACAAAGTTGGTCAAAATATGATAAACGAGTAGAACAGATTGCTTCCACATTTTTGATCAACAGGCAAAAACGATCATACAAAACACAACGGTAATGTTGACTATTTTTAAAGGAAAGCTGTCCTTACCACATCTGAAGTTGTACATGTCTCCTACAAAAAAAGAGAAGAGCAAGGTAAATAAAAAGATAATCAAGCGCTAATAACAACACATTCACTCACAGATGCACGCTAATTAATTCCAGATGTTAAGAGCATTACCTAGGGAAACGAGGTTGGGGGGCGGAATATATGACTTACGCGGAGATAAAACTGAATCGAATTCGAAGAACAGCGTTTCCCGACTGGGGGAGAGTCTGTCACGCGCCCACATTGAACCATGGCCAATTTATGCGCCAGCCAGGGTTAAGAAAATTTATTTTTGCAGTCATCGCTCTACTTTTTAGTTGTTCCCCTAAAAAATTGAGGTTCTTGAGGTTAATAAACTCACTGTTTCTCTTAAACAAGTCATTAAATGCTTTATGAAACATGAAAAAGATCAATAATCCTCACTAGAAGAAGGCGAACTAATGCCTAGTCCAACCCCTTACTTTCAGTTTCCTTGAATTTGCGACACATACATCATACATCATACATCATACATCATACGACACATACATCATAACCAGATTCAGTAGAATTGTCTTTCTTGCAATGGATGTCTTTATTAGTGCGATCGTACACAGTCAAAGCGGTCAGCGGAATCAAAAACAAGAAGTAGGAGACAAGGTTCAAACCAAATGTCCACCAACCAAACTTTTTCCTGAAATCAAAAAATTAAAAAAAATTTTTTTTTTCAATTTTCGGTTTGTGCCGTGATAATGGTGACATGAAATAAAGTTTACTCCTCTGTATTAAGTCAAAAGATCGTAAAGTGTTGATATTCTCTTGATTTAGTTCAGTCCAGTATTAACTGTAACAATCCCCACGCGCTGCTTTCATGGAAGTCATTAAGGTATAAAAAGAAGGGTGTAAAACTTTGGTGAATTTGTGTCAGTGATCAATTTTAACTAAGATTCATTCAATTTTTTCAATGTGAAATGTAAATTACCTAGAGTGAAAGTTACCGAAAGGTAATTACGGAAAGCCCTAGAAGGCAGTTAACACCAATAGAAAGAAAGAGTGAATTCAGACAAACTTGGAATTTGGATCCTTGGAATTATTACTTACCATTTCATATTCAGTAACATGAAACTGATGGGATGGGTGAGGCAACGTTCCCGCCGATACTCCGCCATCGTCTTAAAAAAAAAATCAATGAACTGAATCTTAGGCATAAACAAAAATGTTAGCTGTCTTAAGGAATTAATCGTATTCATTTGATCACTGACACAAAATGATGACCAAGAAGAGAATTGACTTGGCGTCGTTGAATCACTTCACAGTCTGAAACAATTGACAAGTGCCAGTAAATCTGAAAATATTAATCTAAAATAGACCTACCGACTTAAGTAAGGTAGTAATTTACCTTGATCAGTTGTAGTGATTTATTATCAGCTTTAAAAGGCTCTCCTGGAAACTGCCCTTGAACTAGATTCAGGTCATATTTCACCTAGGAGTAACAACCAAGTTATTTCAAATCCATCGATATGAATGTGACCTATCGAGTTGCCATGCAAGCTGATCACTTTCCACTTATTATGATATGACAATCCATCTAGACATCTTTTACTAAAAATCTCATTCATCGAAACAACAAGCGGATTAATTACGACTGTGAATAAATGAAGATCATAAGTGAACTGCGGTTTGGGAAATGACATTGAAAGCGATCTTCGTAGAAATGAGGCAAGGCAGGCCTGAATTTTTTCAGGCCTTATTTTCACTACTACAGTAGTGTTCATTACTGCGAAGATAGCTTTCAATTTCAAGTACGTCTTGAAAAATGAAATCGAAATTTTAGCTGCAAATTGCACTTAAGCGTTTTCTTCTGAGAGGGGAATCATTTTTATAAATACAATTGTCAAGTGGACTCACCAAATAATGGTTAGATTCTGGGTCACCCTTTTTCTCCACGCTCTGATCAAGGAAGAACTACGGGATATAGACAAAAATTACTATTTCTAAGCATTTAACCTGTTTCGTGCCGTTGGTGTTGATCTTAATTCTCTCTGAGTCTCATCAAAAACAAACCACAGAATGAAGTCAAAGATAATTTTAAAAAAAACAGACAGCTGTCAAAGACAGTTTAATCCATCTCAATATTATGCACCTCAATAATTTTTTCAAATGGCTGAGAAGGATCAAGAACTTCGGTCATGTAATAATTTGCAGGTTGAGTTCTCTTACTTGTCATTATATGAGTGTTATTACTACTAGCCACTTACCACAGCTACTTCGGGCATCTTACGAATCAACGTATCCATGATGGGAACCAAACCAGTAGTGCTTTTAGAAAGCACCTCTTGCCATCTAAAAGAGACGACACCATTTTCTAAGCCTGGGGTGCAGCTTCTCGCGCGGTTGATTCCTTTAATTACCGATCACAACCACCTACAACTTTCTAGTGGCTTTGTATCCTGGCACTTTGCAAAACTTAGTGTTCAACAGTTGTGAAATATACTTTAAATTTATATTATCTTGTAGAAAGCAGAAGATCGATTCACTCAGTAGCTTTCAAGGATCAGCCTAAATGTAAAAACACAATGAATATCTTTGAACCGTCTTTTTGTTCTCATGAGGTCAAATTTTTACATCAGATTCTATGCTTTGACAAACACTCCACTGATCTAAACTGGACCTTCTTTTTTGCCGACCAGACAAATGTTAAAGTACACGTGCATGCTGCATAATATGCTCCCACATGTATGAGAGTTTGAGAATCAAGCAGGTAAGGGCGGATCATCAAACAAAGGATTGTAGTACCTGTCGTGTTTTGCTATTACCACCGCAACTTCTTTCATCTCCAAAGATACAGCTATGTCCAATATGGTTTGATTATCTCCATTCCTCAAAATGGAAGCTTTGTTATGTGACAGAAAAAATTCCATTACCTCTGGTTGATTGTTGATAGCTGCTAAGTGCATGGCTGTATTCTGTAAATAAAAAGATGAAAATAAGAAAAGGAATGAACGACAGTAAAACAATTCAAGGTCAGCTTCCTGGCCAAGCGTTTAAGACCTTAAATTTTTTCAAGTTGCAACAATCCATTGCGGCAAAATCTATGCACAAAGACAAAAGTTTCTCTAAGGGGTCGCCACTTACATGCGCTGGTGGAGAATAGTAAAATATGCATGTTTTACGGCAAAGAACTACGAAATGACACCGGCCTGAGTAATGATAACCTTTGTAGCCACTCTCTAACCATTGCATAACCACATCTCCTTCTTTTCTATATATTAACGCGTTCAAGCCAAACTCCTTAGGGTTCCGGTCGGCTAACGGTTAATTAACAAAGTAAAATTCTTACATCATCAAATAACATCAAACCAGGCGGGCGCTTATAGAGTTCACTAACTAGGTTCATTTAAAAGCTTTTTTAAAGATCAAGAACCTTGCTTCTATCCACGTCGTTGATGCATTCGTCATTTTTATTGACAAGGACTTGACAGCAGAGGAGGGAACCTTTGGTGGCGGCTAAATGAAGCGGGGTCCGCTCATTCTGATCTCTAAAACGAAAAGTGAAATCAGGGCTGTCATGCTGAATTTAGTGTCAAGTCTACTGAATGTTGTCCATAAGATATGAGGGTTCTTTAGAACTGTTCGCCTGTGCATTGTCTATCAACAACAGGTGTTTTGTATGGTGTTTGGATGCATTTATGTCGCTTCTGTTACTCTACCGTTTATTCACCTCTGATCCCTACAAACGGATGACATGTTTGGACTAGAACATCTTGTGGCAAGCAATTTTTTATGTTGTCCAAGAATAAAAAAAACGCGATCCTACTTAGTTTAGGTGGTGATGAGTCTCTTACTTTTCTACTAAAGCACCAAGTCTTAAGAGTGTCTCCACTGCGCGGTCATGTCCTTCTGAGCAAGCATAGTGTAGGGCCGTTTTCCCTTGACTGTTACCCAGATTAACGATCTTCACATTCTGATTGTCCATGAGAGCCACTACGACTTCTGTCCAACCGTATCTGTTGTAGCAATTAGAAGAAGGCTTGAATGCGTTTAACAAAAAAAAGCTTGCAACATAATCGTTAAAAAGCCCTAAGTTACAAAGCTGTAGGTATTCCCAGAGCTTTCACGCTCTGAGAGATTTGAAGCGGAAAACGAGAGGAAGGTAATCTTCGTTACAGTACCGTACAAATCGACGAATTTTTAGGCTAAAAAGGACAGCTTCGGGCTAGTCACACCATGCAACATCCTCAGCAGAAGTCATCAGCGAAGTCAACTCTGATGATAACTGCTAAGGTTGTCAAAACGTCAGTCGTTACTACTAAAAACTCTCCTTCTCAAGACTACTCTCAGCCGGACGATCAGACTGCTTGATTGGGGCATAAACATACGTGACCTCGGTGGCACATTTCTTATAACAGGACAGATGCACGTTCGAAAGTATACGAATTGCCAGTTTCTTTAGTTTGTCCATTAACAAACATAATGATCATGCTTGAGGGGACAAATCAAGGCCCTTTCGAACAGACCAGCCACTACGAGGCAAACTGTTTTCTTCTCATGTTGTTTTTCCATCCTTTGAAATGAGAGATTGTAGATTCCATTGTGCCATTAAAGCCTTGGATATCTTCTGTGCAATTTACCCCTTTAGCTAGATAAAGAAATGCACCATTGGTGTTGCTCTTAACTTTCAGTGGTGGAAGAGCTTCGTAATTCCCGTTTTTCCATATTCTTTGAAACAACAAGATGCAAAGCTCAAACAACACTCCTTGTTTTACCCACAAAGCAGCTCGCTAAACGAAATGTGGCTCAGCAATTTTCCAAGACTTTTACTTCAAGATACTTAAAACATGACTGAATCCCCTTTTAAGAATTTTTTTTAAAATTTATTTTTCCAAACCGAAAACATCCTTTTTAAGCCATAAATTAATTCAAATCATACCTGGAAGCCACGTGGATTGGAGTGTCCAAGCTATTAGATAAAACACTGGAAGATGCTCGGTTTTTGGTTGCAAACAACTTGATATTCTATTAAAGAATTGAATAAAAATACCTCTAACTTAACTTACTAAACCTTTTTTAGTGTTAATTGGCCACCTTAAAGAATTCAAAAGCTAACGTTTCGTCGGTCGAAGCGCCAGCTTTTAAATTCTTTACGGTGGTCAATTTACGTTACCAAATCAGTTGATAATACTAAATGACCTTGTTACACTCTCCCACCGAGGCAGCAGCACCACCACCACAGTTTCTTTAGAAACTTACCCCCTTTATTCTTTTTTAATGTTAATTATACATTTTAAATGTTTTCAAGATGCTAAAGCATGTGAACATCGAACCTTCAAGTCCCCTGATTTTGCTGCATAATGAACTGGTGAAAAACCATCATCGTCTTTCTCTGTGATGAGTGCAGCAGCTATTGGACTCTGTGAATAGAAAACTTCGATAGCTGATTTACAGGAAACAAATAAAACTTCTGAAGATATCTCACAAGAGAATTCTCCCCACGCTGTTTTAATCTAATGTACAATAACTACTCCGATGAGGGGGGAGACTTCAAGGTGCAAATTTCAAAGGTCCCTTTAAACCATCCTCGACAAACAAATATGATGCACGATATTAAGATCCAATACATCCTGACAAAAACTGCTGTGCGTGACACAGACAATACCGAAGGACGCGGCCTTAAATCGAGATAAGGAGAAATTTAATTCATTGGGGGCGGAATGAAAGCACAATGCCAACCTTTTCTCTCACTGGGAAATAGCGGAGCCTTAACTCCTAATTAACTGGTTTCAGTTGAACCTAACTTATCATAGTCTGAAGCCTGACTCGCAGTTATCTAAGTGATAAGGCATAAAAGCTTTCTACAACCACCATGGTGATCAACAGCTAAAAGCAAAAACAAGCAAAAGGGGTCGAAATCCCCCAACAACAAGTCAGAACCAAATATGATTAAAACCTACATTTAATAGAGTGGCAACCCTTACCTGTAACAAAGCTTCCATAGATTTCACATCCCCCACAGCAGCGTGGACCACTGACTTAAGCATTATGTCCCGTACAGTGACGTCAGCTCCGTGATCCATAAGAAGCTTCACTACACTGTGTGCCCCATAATTAGCCGCCCGGAACAACGGTGAACGCCGCTCATCATCCTTTGGGTCAAGAGCTGCTCCCTAAATAAGGAATTGTATCAAATAATTAATTGACAAGCCACTGCATAAAAGATCTTAGTGTTGCTTTGCAGAGAACATTTTTGACGCACAAACTCACTGGTCTCACTGACGAAAAAGTTTTCACGCTTTCAAGGGAACAAACCAAAAGAGGAAGACCCTTGAGCAAGCGAAATTGTGCAGGCTGGGTATAATTCGGAAAATATTTTGGAACTTGTAACTTAAATGTGAAAGCACATGCTTCAGAGCCGATAATACCTCATAACTGGTCAGGGTATGCGTTGATAAGCCTCCTCGAATATTGACAGCATCACTCATTTTGCTGAGTAAACTTTTCAAGCTAGCTAAGTGGAAACTATTACATGAACCTGAGCCAGAGTAGACATTGAAGAACGGTGTTAACTCTCGCCAATGTGCACAGACGAAATTTGTGCTTAAAAAACCATAACATTTTAATCACTGCCCCTAAAACGTGCAATCATATGATTCACTGATTGCCGTGGTTGAGATTCCAAAGAGTGACGTAACAATACGAAATTTGTCTTCAAAGGCGCTAAAACTTTGATCACGGACGCCGTTACCTTGAAAACAACTCAGTAACCTAGCCTCAAACGCAAAACCAGAAGGTGCAGTTCACAAAAACCCTTGACGTCGATTTAGGATGCCCTTGTTCTTTAGCTCCCAATTACTCAAACAGATTTCCAAGATAAACATAAATGGGGTCTGGAAGTTTATTACGATACAAGTAGGCGGCAAGTTCAATGAACAAGGTTCAAAACTGCCATAAATGGCATTTACTAAAGGTTATATTAGTCTTAGGAATCTCAAGACGCGGCAAATGTCACAATTGCAAATAAAAGTCTTAGTGTCGGCGTTTTTTTTTCGCGAGTTCTCTATGTCCTCCTTTCCATAGCGTTATTATATGATTTAAAGTCATCTCTTTGACTTGAGCGGTTCCTTACTAATCCTTAAACATTTACTGGACCAGGGCGACGAAATAATTTGACTGACAATATTGTCAAGATCTTTGACCTAAAACTGCATCATCTTTAATCTACCGACGAGATAATGATACGTACATTCTCCAACAAGAACTCTACGATCTCAGCGTGGTTTTTACCAGCAGCCATGTGAAGCGGCGTCCTCCCCTTGCAGTCCACAATAGTTATTCTACACAGAGCAGGGTCTTTACTGACGAGGTATTTCACTATCGGCAAGGATCCCTGTTCGCATGCCATGTGAAATGCTGTTATTTTATCTTCTCTCTATGGGATAAGTAAAGCAAATATAAGATGGAAATAACAAACCGTGGCTATTGAAACGTTGCTATGAAGTCTAACTACCTGTTAAACCTGACAACTTAGCTTAATTCTATGCAAGAAGCATTATGCATAACGAATTAAAAGTTTAAACAGCTTTGGTATTTTTCAGTGATCGATGTAGATTGGTTTAAAAGAAATAATTGAGCAATAAATTCTACGTCAAGGCATGAGAAGGACATACAACATTTCCCTAAAATTGACCGCTTTATGTAGAATGTTGCTATTCTAAAATTAACATTTCACATGTCCCTGTTTCGACTATCTTGATTGCCACCAAAGTCTTTTTACTAAATAAAACCTGAAAACTATTGTGAAGTAAAGTCCTATACCCTTGGTTGTCTGATGCGAACTCCATACTGGACACATGTTTCCACAACCTATGACAAAACGAATATACCCTGCATTAGTGAGATTCACATAACATAAGAGAATTGATGATAAAGAACGTCTTTGACAAAAAAGGAAGCTATCACAGCTCAGCGACATATTATTCTTACCCCTGAAATTCCACTGTTTACAGCCAAGTGAAGAAGAGAGCTGCCGTCCATGTCAACGTTATATTTGAAATTCTCCACAGAACCTGTCTCCTCTTGCGCTGTGGTGCGAAGCAAAGTGCGCTTTTGTTAGTATGATGTTTGCAGCTCTCTTATTAATGTTTGCCAAACCTGCCACTTGGAGCTCTCAGTCAAAATAATGAAGTGGGGCTTGACTGATGACATTAACAGACAGAGGTAGGCAAACTAATTGAATCAGTTTCGTTTATCAGTGATGTAAATCAGAAATAAAAAGCATGTTAAGAAAATATCGATTCAAATCTTCCGAGGTGTAATCAAAACCCAAATTACTATGGGTAAATTGAAAAGTGTGCTATCAATTATAATTATATTCCCTTGACACTGTATATACGACAAAACTAAATCATTCAGCAGCAACTTTTATATGAATGAATTACATGCAGGTGTAGCTTATAGAAATTTCACACTGTCTAAGGGAAAGGCATATTTCAAATCCAGCAACTAACTTTGAATAAATAAAGAACTGTTACGAAGAATTGCCCAAACCATTGGCACACTTTGCATTTATAGGGGCATTTTCAATCGAGTGTCGAAAGTAATCCGTGATTGCATTGATTTTGCTTTATTTCGTTCTGTTTGACCAGAAAACTAGAGCATGCCTCTCCTCCTTAAATCAGATTCAAAATTTAATTCAATCGCGTCTTATTCACTAGCGTTTTTCCGCGCTTCACTCGTTTTGCTTTTGAGTTCTCATTGAATCCTCGTGATTTTCTGTATGTTGTGATTGGCTGTTGTGATTCATTTGGCTTTGATATTCCACATTCAATTTTAAAGGCATTTAGTGAACTCGAGTTAGAGATTCGGACCCGATGACTTGCATTAGAGAGTGGACAACACCCATTAAAGACATCACTTTTGGGGGATTGAAATGGAATCTGCAGAACTTGCCTTTTTGTAACAAATATTGGGTCGACTTTTGAGCTCCTCTTTCAACAGCCCGAGCAACAGGTGTCATCTGCTCAGCATCCAAAGGCGACAATGAGGCGTGGTACTCTACCTGGATAAACAAGTAAAGGGGAGATTCGTAAGTTCCGAATAAGCTGGATAGCATAGAGTACTTTTCTTGTATAGTCCCGTCTTGGGTATATGCAGATGCTTACTGAACTTGTGAAAGCCTCTGCCAGGTCACCTTTATAGAGGAAGAGCCAAGACCCGTATCTGCACGGGATAAAGGACAAAGAGACGAAAAAAAAGGGTGAAATTTACATTCTCGAAATTTCAAATCTCGAGCCCGGACTGGATAGAGGAACATGTGGACCCCACGAGTTGAACCATTCTTTGCAGCCAAGAGCGCAACTTACCAGAATCTTGCAGATACTGGCGTTGTCCATTTCAGCGGCAAGATGAAGAGGAGTAGCCGAGTTTCGCCCCAGAGCAGAAACATTGCATCTGCCACGTTCGATGAGAGTCTTCGGAAGAAAAGAAAAATTCGATTTGCTTCACATTTACTAAGTTTCAGAAACAATCTTCGTCAACCGCAGAAAAGGCACCTTGTTAAAAACTTCGCATTTGCCTAGCAGAAAAGATTTCAAAAATTATTTTAAGTTGTTAAGATTCACACTCAAACTGCATGTAAATATGTGTATGTGCTTTTTTCTTTTTTTTTTTTGTTTTGCACGGAATTTTCCTAAAAATATGTAACTACCAACCTGAGCGAACTTAAGTCAACCATTAAAATGAAATAAACGAATCCTAATTCTCACCTGCACCAGTCTCTCACTTCCAACTCGTATGGCAGTATGTAACACTGTGTCGCCCGCATCATCTTTTAAAGTAACGTCAGCGTTATGCTCCAGTAACATTTCAACAATGCTGAACTGTTTCGCTAAGATGGCCGTGTGGAGAGGAGTCTTACCCGAGCTATCTTGACGGTTTGTATCTTGAAAAAGTATGAGACGAAGGGAGAATCAACAGGGGTTTGTTAGTGAAATTATTACTGCAAACGTTCGTTTGAATTAATAGACCTATAAAAATGATTTTCGATAAGAAAAAGGAAGAAATCCCTGTTGCCAATTTGTAGATATATCTGATAAACACGTAGGAATTACCACCAATATCTACAATATCTGATGTAAAAATAAAACGACCTCGAATGACTTACACCACTTTACAATCTTTCATGATTGTGTCCAGGGGCTCTTGCTTTAAAAAACTGATCCACATCAGTTGAATGCAAACTTTTCAATACCGTCCAAAAACTCCCCATTTGCTACAAATTCATATGGCAACAGAATAACTGGCTACAGGCGCCGTTATCATTGCGTGCTTCACGAGGTAATGAAAAATAAGTTATATTTCCCCTTTCTGGATTAATTAGTAACTATCATAACTCAAGACGTCCTGTAAAGGGAGCACCGAGCCACCTAAACCCAAATTTTCACCAGTAAACTTTGATTTGGTCGCGGAGATTAAAACAGGAAACTGTTAAATCAGCGTTAGTGAGCGGCTTATTTACCACTCAAATGGAGGCCATGCATGTGAGACATGGAAAAACCTTGTGTTCTTATCATTTTACAACACTGTAATTACCATTTCCTTTGGCGATAATCCTTTTTGCTTCTTCTTCGTTCCCAGCCAGGATTAGTTGATGAAGTTTGTTGTCTTTTTTCTAGGAACAGCAAAGTGAGTAATTCTTCAACAATAGCGCATGATATGGTTCACATAAATCAACAAACCTATCATAGGAATTAAGCGATACCCACGGGTAAAATGCATCGAAAACACTTCTTTTTAATCTATTCATTTTTCCTTCAAATTTTGGCAAAAAGCCATGTGAGTGCAGGGCCGGACATCATTTTTCGGATCGGCTCATGTCAACCCGTCGGGCCCTGCACACGTCAGCTTTATGGGATTGCGCACACGGGGGCCGCACGGGTCATATGATAAGTAACTTATTCTTCATGAATGCAAATGTTTATTCCATGTTTTTATACACTTACCACTGATTCCACGCGCGATTGAGCCTCTGTTCCCTCTTCTTTACTTCTTACTGAGCTCATTGACAGTCTACTAAGAGCACGGGATTTTCTTCGGTTTCGTGTCCTCACATTTGTGACTCCCTCTTCGGAAAAAACCGATGAGTTTTCATCTGCGTCTTCTGAGGTGGAGCTCCCACCAAACGAAACCTTCTTTCCTTTTGTCATGATGAAAATGAGGCGGACTGTCCGACTGCTTGAGACTTGCTTTTAAAAGGCTAAACCATGAAAAAAAAATTAAGAGTAAAACGTTGTCAGGAAAAATCTCAAGTTCTTGGCCGTTACCTTGTTCCCAAGCGTCAATTCTCAAATGTCTATATTTTAAGAAGGTTGCGTGCCAGCGTTCTAACCTCTCAGCTTCTGTATTTTTCCCAGGGCGTTGCTTGATACTCTACCCAGGTCAGGCTCGGTTCCTATCTTTATTAAAACCTTTAATGCCAAACTCCACTCGTTTGGTTCTACACGTAGTTACAGTTTACAATACAACACTCGAGTGCTAAATCAGTTGAAATGAAACCGGGTCATGGATGCAAGACATATCATGTTATAGGCATTCCAATCTTTTTCTATTTATTAGGCTCCTCGTAGACATCGAAAAATCTTTTAAACACTTGTTTCAGTCTTTTGCAAAGATTGCGCAAGTAACTTCGGGGGAGGGTTCTTTTAGATGAACTCCTTAGGATGAACTCTAGAAGCAGACTTTTTCAAGTCATTTACAAACGTTTCTCCGATCACTCTTCTTTACCATACGAGATCATATTTCTGGGTTTATGTCTGTGTCGTTATCGATCGGAAAAAGCATTAAACATGGATGATGTTACGTTCGTAAAAGAGTTCTGGTAACTAAAACTAGCTAATCGTGGTAACGAAATTGCTTTACACTTAAAAATATCTGTAGTTTTTTTCCACCTTTTGAATCTGTTGTTTTAAACCCGGTCAAAAGCACTGATTTTGACTCCTTGTATATGGGCCATTCAATTGCATCATTTATAGTTTATACCTTTCAGATTTGTCAATATCTTCCTCAAGCGGTACTTCTATATTTACAGACCGTAGGGAATTTGCTGAGCCTAAGTCACTGTCCTCGATCATTTCACAGAGAAAAATAATTTTTCTTTTCGGGGTGAAAAAGTTCTTAGATCAAATCTGATTAATTATTTTAAATTACGACAACTGCACTTGGAAACTTGTCCAGATACATTGTTTTCCCTTGATCACGATCCAATGACTTAGAGATGACGAAAAACTTAAAAATGGGGAGGTGAAAAGAACAAAGGACACACATAGGTAAACAGAGAGTTGAGCGAGTTTTATTTTCAGTAAAAATTAAGAAGACCCGAGCTCATTCAAATTGTACGCGAACTATGATTTTAGTTTGCTTAAAGGCGCATGTCACTCTCCCAATAAATTTTGGGAAATCTTCATCTCTAAAACAAAGCTGCTACACTTCCGAACCAAAACTGATGTTCAGCTAGATTGAAGTTGACAATTCATGTTGATTGAAAATGAACAGAGGTATCATTAAAACCATGTTGTAATTCCTTTAGGAATGTTCTCTGGTCACTACTAGCAATTCTTACTCGGTTCAAGCCTCGTCGTAACGGTTAGTTTTATTTCAGAAACAGACCACTGAATGGGTGTTCGTTTCTATTGTTGTTACTGTGAAATATTGTAGATGTATCAACTGTTGGAAAAATCATTTTAACGTCGAAATGGTAGATTGTTATTTCATCTGTACTTTTTTCCGATCTTTCCTAAAACAATAAATGGTGCAGGAAGAAGCCCACCGAATTTTTTCAGCCAAAGTTTCTTTGCCATTAAATGAAAAATAGAACGCGTCCTGAAATTGTTTCTTGCAAAAAACGCCAAGAAATTCACTTGGTTGAGAGAGAGAAATTCACTTCATAATGAATAAGGGAGCTTAGAACTGCGCAATTTTCGAATGCATAAAAAGTATTACCTTTTATCAAATCCATGAAAAACGTTTGGTTGATCAAGCATCAATTCAAATACTATTTACTCTCTAACTTATGCATCAAAGTCACGTGGTAAGTGAGTTAAAAAGGTTTGTTTGAATTGCGCAATATTGAAACAAAAGAACCAAATCAGCTTGGGGTTATATCTTGGGGGAGCAAGTTTCTTAATAACTTGTGTGATGCATTGTCGGAGTGGGTATTACAAAATATTTTGGTTTCATCAACTGAGTTTACAGTGTAAATTGCCGACACTTAAAAGTTTTTGAAGCTGGCGTTTCGAGCGTTAGCCTTTCGTCAGAGCGGACCTGCGAAGAAAAGCCCGGTGACGGTCCAAACATCTTGAAATGTTTACCTCTCATTTTTCAAGATCACAACTAATATTCACTTCATCTTCTTCATTAAGTCCGTGCTGTTTACTAATCATGCAAAAAAAACCATGGAGCGTGTCAGGTATTCTATTTTGAGCAGCAAAAGGGCATTGAGGGGCTCCCTCAGGCAAAATATTACTCCTCCCTGCTATCGGCTTTTGAAGTGGAACACGTAAGAAAGAAAAAACAATTTCTAAATCACGATTTCTCACTTGAGGCCCGTTTTTCAACATCTTCCATGGGTTATTACAGGTGTGCTCTGAAACAAAATGTTCTCCTCTGCCTCTGAAAGATTATCTTTAAAGCATTTGACAATATTCAGCAAATAAAACAGTAAACATACAATAGATGATAGATTTTTGACTAGTTAGAGCGCCCTTATCAATGAATGATTAACAAGTTGTAACAAAGCTGTGGACAAAACAATATAAAAATAAGATCGTTTAAGCAGGTAAATCGTGACAAAGGGAGGCATTTTTGACAACACGATTAACCGCCTCTTTGTTTTTACGCAGTCGAGAGAGGAAAAAATTTAAAAAAATTACTGTATTATAAGATCTGAAATTCCAGTTGACGTTTACTCAGATTTCATTATCTAGTATTTCGTGAGGCCACTCAGTCTTCTGTGTGCAAACGGTGATCAAAATGCTTAAAAACTCTTTAGTTCCTTTTTACAGCCATAGTTGACAGAGATGATTACTAGGGAAGTCGAAAGACTCCTTTTGTTTTTTGGCTATTAGTAGGTGTTATGGACCTAAACTTTTAATTACAACAAAGTGTGAACACAAAAACAAATATTTCCACAGCCAGAGAGCTTTCCGTCTAAAAACAATAACTTTCTTTTTCAATTTTGCCTAGTTTTGTAGCCAGTCACATCGAATAGCTATGACGCATTTAAATATGTAGATCAAATATGCAGATTGGCTTCTCGAATATTCAGACTCATCGCTAGCGAGCAACGCTGTTGTATTCATTTTTTGAAGTGAAACAAGAAAACTAAAAGGAAAGCAGTAGGAAACTTCTGCCCTAAAGTATAAACTAATAAAGTTAGACGTTAAACCTAAATACTGCTCCTATTACCCTAAGGTTGGCTCACCGAAAAAACGGCTATCATTTGGCTTTCAATATAAGTTGAATTATAAGCCGGCGCGTGAGTAGTCAGAATACAAATTCACTGTTTTCAGCACTTCTATTAAATCCAACCATAACGGTAAAATCAAGCCTCAGTTTCCAAGACATAAGCGAGATAGCAGGGGAACACGAGGAAAGTCTGTAGAGTGTAATCAATACTATCCGAAAGCGATTGATTTACGCATTTTTCGAACCCTGTCTCGCATGTTTAGCAAGTTTTTCATTGCTACTGTCAACTGATTTAAACGGGGTTCTATTTCGTGTAGGAACTACTTTGAAATGATACATAAACAATAGGGTTCCAGTCAATAGAGCTTAATTACCAAATACATTTATTGTCAACACGCGTGTTCGACTAGAATCTTCTGAAAATTCATGAACAATACAGAGCACATTCCACCAGTTTCTTGTCTCAAACGCCTCTAAGAAAAACATAAAGACTTGAATTGGACAAGAATACTGGTTCTGGCATAATTTCCACGTTCCAGAGTCAAACGTCTTCACAGTGCATATCGAAGAATGAATTGATTTACCAAAAGGTTAATTTCATCCTCGACCAATGAAGCTCTCTAGTTGGACTCCACAAAGTCGAAATACTGTAAGATAATAGTACGCAGCCGAAACACTGCGCGCTTTAATATCGGAAGCCTCTTTAATTTGACGGCTAAGAAAGCAATTTAATTTCCTTTTTTCTCAGAGGGATGCCGGATTCGTTGTACAATTACAACTCGCCAATCAGAGTCTTGCGTCTTTCTGTCTTACATCTTGATTTAGGTCTTAACTACCAAACCTAGCTCATAAAACGGCAAAGACAGAATAGAATGAAGGAAAGCTTCTCCACCTTCACAAAAGAACCAGGTTTCAACGTTAGAGCTCAGTAAAAAAAAAAATTTCGTACTCCCTAATTGCACCTCGAGTCACTCTAGGCATGTCTCTTGTGGTGAAGCATTAAACCGGTCGAAAACGTGTCAATAATCCCCGCTTATAACAAAAACACACACACAAATATCTGATAGGCTAGTTACTACACTTGCCTTTTACGCTGAACTTTTTTCGACTGTGGTTACCAGCATAGTGTCGTAGCGTGAATTTCAAAACCCCAGTATTCAGTTGTGGTTCGTTCTCTAGGGCAACTGTTACAAGAATTGTTCAGCAGAACAATTATAAACAAAATCACTTACGCTCACAAAAACATTCAGTCACGTGACCTGGCATCGTCTTTGTTTAACATACATCTGCTTCTCAAAGTTTTTCACTATCATGCTTTCTATTACAAATACAAACTTCTTTTGAACTCTAAATATTTAAAACCCTGTACGATACACCTCGGTCGAGTACATTTCAATTGTTCGTTTATTTCATAGCTTCTCATGGCTGACTAAAGCATACTCTCCTAAGCGGAACCAGCGATTCCCTAAAGCAACGTGACCTTGCGGTTGACAAATTAATTTAAAGATATATTTAGCCGACATAACTTGCCCCTGGTTATGTTCTCGAGTGAGGTAGAAATTTTGGACTCTGACAATTACAGCCTCTGGCTGCTTTAAGATATTTGTCAGTAACTTTATGATAAACTATATAAAACTGTGTTGCTCCGTCTCATGTGTCTTCTCTAAACCGGTTAGCAGAAGACGTTTAAGAACCTGTGCAACTCTGACAAAGAGTAGGCAACATAGCTGCTGGCGTCGTGGTGTGGCCTTGCTCCTAAAAAAAATCCTAAATTGGGGGCACCTGCAATGCTTCCCTTTCAAAAATTGTGTAATTACGCTCAGAATATAAGCATCCTGGAATTTGGAAACTATATTTAGATAAAGTATGTAAAGTATGTACAGTGAAACTGATTTTAGAGGCTTGTTTATGAAAATCCAAATAAACCAATTTTACTGGACGTCTTTGTTTCTTCTTTCTTTTTCTGTTCCTCTTCTATCTTTCTGCTTTGTATTTCTTTCAACAAATCTGACTGCTCTTTCATCATTTCGTACATCTTTTGCATTCTGGAGAAAAAAAAACAGACCAAACTATTTTTAACAAAATTATTTACCAAATGCTTTCTTACTGTTTAAGCAGTGCAACTAAATACCCGAAAAATCACTTTCCTTTCCACTGGAGATACAGATGCACAAAATAGCCTTTCTTTTCTCTTGTACCATTTTTGTCGTTCTCACAATCAGCAAAGGATTATTCAAGGTTTAACGTCTGTCGGAATGATAAGTTTTTATTGACTGACTGGAAGAGCCGGATGGGAAGGTCATAACGTACGAACCGAGCGCAACGAGAACCGTGCTGTATAAATTTGAGCCAAATAATTTGTCGTCTTGCCCAACTAAACTATGTCAATAGGCATTGTATATATAACCACTTTGGCGAGCGCTGGACAACTATTCAAAAATTCTACTTTAGGTAACTTTGAGTCGTATTTTTTTCTTTGATTTAGAACTAGAAACTCATAATTCATCGAAAAGCCCGACTCGTTTTCTCATCTTTTTTTTTCTCCTAGGCCTCCTTCCTCCATTTTAATTTCACGTTCTGGGAAAATTCAAAAGAGCTGTGGGAGTGCAAAACCAGACGTCTTTTTCCGGACTGGCGGCCCACGCTCGCGCGGGGTCGTACAAGTCATATGATAATATCAGTTATTCCCTTTCAACGTATTAAGTGCCTCACGTCGCAGAAGCTCCTTACTTTTCTTCTTGTTTTTGTATTCTCTCCAGAACTTTGACCATTTCCGGTGACATCTCATTAGCTTCTTCCTCGATACTAACTTGAGGTTTATCAAAACCAACGAGGCCATCGATCAACTGAAAAATGTAAGAATGGACAAAATTTTTAACGCATCAAAAGTCTAAGAATAAGAGTGAAATTTTTCCTCATTTGATTTACCTTAAAGAGACTTTCATATTTAAATTTTAGTACCAACCTTTTGTTTAAGTGTCTTAGGATGGTTTGGAAACTCGCTGTACGAGTAAACTTGCACACGTTTCATGATAAACTCTGGGAGAGAATTTTCGATGTCCACAAGCAGCCGAACCTGGGAATTGAAAAACAAAATGTACATTCTTCTAATTTCATCACTTAGGCTAACATGCACCCGAAACAGGGCTACTACGAGAATATTCTTCAACATGATTTATCTTTCAAAAATTATCTTTTCCTTACTTGAAGGACATAACGATCCATAAGCGCATTCTCCTGGATTTTGTCAATATCACCAACAGCCAGACCAACCTGAAAAAGGAGAAATTAAGCAAAATTTATAAAAACGATAACGGTGTAAATCACGTAACAGGCATGAAATAGAATGTACTGCTCACAAGATCTGGATCTCTGCCATTTTTCGAATCTTTCCCCACCAAAGTGCAAATTTTTACTCCTGACCAGTAATTATATATATGGGGGGGGGGGGGTTATTATTGATTTAAAAAGAAATGAAGCACTCGTAAATAGGGTTACAAAAGGAGGAATTTTCTTATTTGCAACTTTCTTCATCAGGGTAAAAAAAGGGAAAAAATGAGGGGTGTCGTCTTACCCCCCCTCCCCCCCCCTCCTGTCTTCTTCCTCTTAGGTGAAGTCATGCAATGTCGCTATGCGAAGAGTCATTAACTCTTTATCTTGTGTGATACCTCGTTTCATCTCATTCCTGAATTATCATAACACATTGAGGATCTGAAATATTCTCAGTGATTAGCCTCACCAGCATGTTCATCATTATGATAGGCATTCCAAGAACAAGCACGATAAACAAAATATTGGTGAGGGTCGAGAAGGCCAGATTATCCCACGGAAGAAAGTTTTCATGGTAATTCATCTCTCCCAAAGTCATCACAAACATCGTCATCATTGAAGTACCAAACTTATCAAATGGAGGCTGTGGAATAGTTTAAACAAAACTTGTGTCATATATGAATAAAGGGGGCAAGTTTCCAAAGAAACTGTGGTGATGCGTCGATGAGGGAGTTTAACAAGATAAATTGGTTTTATCGACAGAGTTGATAATAAAAATTGGCCGCCGTAAACAGTTCCTAAAGCTGACTTTTCCAGTATTGGCCTTTCGTCAGAGAAAATGACTAACAGCTAAAAACGTCAGCTTACGGAAATCCTTTACGGTGGCTAATTTACATATAATTATCAAGTTGATAAAGCCAAATTATCATTGATAGATAATTTTGCTGAAAATCAGCGTGGAATAGAAGGAAGCATTGAGTGTGTATATTTACTTCTACAAAAATTGTCATGTGTATGGCCTCTTCTGTCTGTTCAGCTGCTTTAGAAGTGATAATGTTATTTTTTTGTTCTCAAAACTGTAATAAAAATCCTTCTACAACAAAAGGAAGTAAGCCATAAAAATCTCTCACTTTATTTGTTTCTTCTATGATTCCTAGATTATGTAATAAACTTACATCATTCATGACCAATAAAAATGTTGTCCCAAATGCCATTATAAACAAAATCCAAAGAAGCAGAACCTGCAAAAAATTATGGAAAAATAAGGCTCGACAAACATGAAAAACGTGACCATGACCGTGACGTGACCGCGAAGAAAACAACAGACCTTGATTGCAATGTGTCTGTCGACTGGGTCGTTTCTAGAGAATTTTAGCCTACGAAAGAGGAAGAGCTCTCTAGGAACGTAAAAGTGATAGAGGCTTTTCTTTGCCAATTTTCCTCAGATCAACCGCAACACCTTTGGTCAAGCAATCATATGTTTTTTTCCTCTTTAAGAAGAATTAATGGACATATCTATAACAAGAAAAAACTCAGCGTAGAGGATCCAGTATGATGAAAGTGTTTTTTATGACTTAACTTTAGGGAAATAAGACATAACTGAAACCAGTATTTTGACGTATTTTGAAACAAACCTTTAATAATGTAACAAACATCGTTGACAACATGATGACATATTGACCGTAGGAAGACAGTCTAAGAATGAAAAAAACGGAACGCACTGATTAGTGATCAGAAGTTCTAACGTGTCATCAGTGGCCTTACTGAGCCATGCATTTCAGGAGAAGAATCGTAAGCAAGTTAAATGAGAGTATAAAGTTAACTTCCTTTCATTTTATTGCGACATGACCGAAATCGAACTCGATAGGAAATAGTTTCCAGCGGAAATCTTGAGATCTTTATTTTAAACATTCCTTTTGGAACTTACCTTCTAAAGTATAAGATAAGATTCATCCAACCAAAGAATAGAGCAACCGCGCCAACTTCTCTTTTAAAACCAGCTTTACAGTCACAGGGTGGTATGACGTACAGTATTGATGCTATATAACAAACCCATTCCAAGAAGTTACTGACATCTTCCAGGTATGACAGCCGCTGTCAAGAAAAATTTTAAAAAAATTTGAGGCTTTGGCAGATTTTTTTTTTTGTGATAAACTATTCCCGTAACAGCGTCTTATTGAAATTTAGGGGGGTTGTCGGATTGTTTTAGAGAAGTAAATTGTCAATATTCTCATGCAGATACAAAAGGGGCACATGATTGTCCCCCCCTGTGTAATCCATTAGGTCTAACTAAGCTCCGTAGAACGTTTCATTTATTATTAAGAGTACAGATATAGCTTAAATTATCTTTACGCATTTTCCATAATGCAAATTGTTTCCCGTAAGATGTCTTACCTGATCTAAACTAGCATCATATGGTTCAGAATTCCTAGATGAATATGGCAAAATACTCATGGGTGTTGACCAAGATTTACTAACCTTATGGTATAAAGAAATGAGTTCCTTTAGAAGATGCCCTGATGCTGTGATTAACACAAAGTAATTAAACACCTGAACTACCTGCGAAATAGTAAGAACAAAATTCCATGAGCACCAAAGTCAATAAGTTATTTCCTTACTTTCCAGTAAAGAGGGAGAAAACTACCTGGAGAAGGGAGGATTTGAGATGAAAAATTACCACATTACCACAAATTCTATTAATGTATCCATTGAGGGTTTGAACATAGCAGACCGACCAGCGGAGCAAATTTGGTAACTCAATTGAATGCTGGAAGGGTGCTCAGAATGAAAATTTAAAAACCATTTCGTTTCCCTTTCACTCATTTTTTTTTTAGTTTCTCCCAATTTGTTCGTCAAGGATGTTTTGTCGGCCATCTTGCATATTAGGGTCTCTATCGCCGGGCTGCATGTAACTTGTGATACGTTTCGACCATATCAAGTGCACCTACATGGACATAACTTCGACTCGGGATAATACACTTACCACATTGGAA